GAAGAAGAGTTGATTCTTTTGAGTTACGTTGTTGGCAAAGAAGACTGAGGCTACCATAGACTGCCAGAAGAACTAACAAATCTGTCCTGGAAGAAGGCCAGTTGGAATGCTCCTTGGAAGTGAGAATGGCCAGACTTTGTCTCACCTACTTTGGTCATATTGTCAGAAGGGACCATTCTCTGAAGAAGGATATATTATGTTCAGTAAAGTGGAGGGTCAACGAAAAGGAGAAGGTCCTCAACAAGATGGATTGACACAGTGGCTGCAATGATGTGCTCAGGTATGGCAAAGCTCATGAGGCTGGCACAGGACCCGGCAGTGTTTTAGTGTTTTGTTCTATTGTACATAAGGTTGCCATGAGTTGGAGATGACTTGACTGCACCTAACAACAACAGCATGGGTAGCTTAGAGGGAAGGGGAAAGGAAGACACAATGCTTAAGCTTAGGAAACACTAAGCTTCTGTTAAAAGTGATGGAAAAATTCATGATGGTGCTGGTTGAACAACATAATGAACACATAATTAATATTGCTAAACTATACATGTGAAGAATGTAGAAATGACAAAGGTTTTGTTAGCTCTATATTTACCTCAATAAAAAAGAAAGAAAGAAAAGAAACCCATAATATTACAGAAAAGAAAACTGAGATCCAAAGAGCTATTAACAAACTTGCCCAAGTATATATCCATTTACTGGTATATTTGGAACTAAAACTCTTGCTACCTCTTACCTCAATGCTCTTTCCATAGTCAGCTTGAAAATAAGCTTTCAAGGTCTTGATTAATTTCATCTTTTTGTAAATTTTTTTTAATTGAAAAAAATTTTTCATTAAAATTTTTTTTTTTAATTACAGAATGCGAAAAGCCAATACAGAGTTGGCAGTACTAATGTCAACTAATATACCAGCAAAAAGGAGGAGATTATGTGCTTTAAACTATGGGTTAAAACACTCTAGATGATCACAGATAAGTTCTGTACAATCCCATCAGCAGTTTCTCAAATGCTTTCCTTCCATTACCTTCTGTTGTAACCCAGTTGCTAGGCTCCCTTTTAGATTCCCTTGGTATCTCACAGAATTCAAATGTTTTGTTTTGCTGTCCAATTGAATGCTTGCTACTGAAAACGCAAATAATATTATGTCAAGATGCTGGTAAAATAGAGGACTCTGCTCTATGGTGTTTGAAGTGTTAGCTACAATTGTAAACAATGGGCAAGGTATAGTTTGAGAAGTTCACATAAGGACTTCCTAGGTTTTTTGTTTCTGTTTTTGCTTTTTAAATACACTTTAGTCCTAATACTAGGGATAAAAATGCAAATTTAAATTACTTAAAACTCCTAGATTCAAAATGACACTACAACTAATTAATCTAAAGATATCCTTTCAAGAGTGGTTAAATATCTGAGGTTACCATGTGTTTGGAAGATGAATAAATGTGCACAGAAGTGTTTAAAGCAGAAACTGAGAAGTCAGTGCTGTGAAATCTCCTGATTCCTGCCCACCTTTCCTTCCTGCCCACCATCCTTATTCTGCTCCAGGGCTTCCTGCCAGAGTGATAAATATTCTCTTTCACATCCTGTTGCCCTCACCAACCTCGGAAAGTGGGAAAATATCACATATGACAGGGAACATTAAACGATATGTTGTGTTGTTGATAAAATCGGTTTATTTCTTTTATAAACACTGAATTGCAGAGTGCATGGGGCTAAATGACTGTAAAAGAGTTAGCTGACCCCTTCCTTCTACTCTAACGTCAACAGAGAGGGCCTCTGAGCTCTAAAGGAGACACAACAGATTGAGGTCTAGTAAGGAAAAGCCATTGGTCCAGGTTAGAGGAAAAAACGAATACCAAATTCCTCAATGATATGATACTTCTGAATAATAATGCAAAGATTATTTCACTTTCCAATATCCTACTTCTTGTTGTTGTTGTTATGTGCTGTCGAGTCGGCCCCGACTCATAGCGACCCCTCCTTGGGTTTCCGAGGCAGTATCACTACGGAAGTAGGATTGCCCAACCTTCCTTCCGGGGAGTGGCTGGTGGGTTTGAACCGCCAGCCGTCTGGTTAGCAGGCAAGTGTCTTAGCCACTATGCTACCAGAGCTGACCTTATACCTTACCATGTAAACAGGAATACTTCTGAGAATGGCAGGGGCTCTAATAGTGACTATGTCAGCACAGCAGGAGTAAAGGAGGCCACCCCAGTAACAGATTTACAAAGCTCAAGGAGATTGTGAAGTATGTGAAACCTCTCTTTAGTGATGCCATTTATCCTGTTTTGCCAAATCCCTTAGCAACATTATTTTGCCAATAAGATTAAAACATGTTCCCACACTGCATCCTTTAGAAAAGTTCCTTATAGAGCCTTCCTGCAACTGAATTTTTAAAGAAGAATAAAGAGTTTAAAATATTAAATTTCATCTAAACATCTGTTCCTTTTGGTGGTCAAAATAAAATAAATAAAGCAATGCTAGTCTGACAGTAAAATACAAAAAATGAGATGTGAGTAGCTGTTTTTAAAAATTATTATAAAATTAATGCCTAGTTGTAAGCAATTAGAACAAAAATATTATAAGCAAATTCTTCATTACTCTCTCTACCCCATTTCCAGGGGTAACACTTTCTTCTATATCTTTCAATATAAATTTTTATTTATATGCAAACATTTATGTGTATGAACAGATGTGAAAGGATATGTTATTATATGATATCTTTTTTTGTTTAAATGATGGGATCACTCTATACAAATGTTCAGCAACTTTATTTTTTACTTTAAGGTCATCTGATCATCACTTCATATGACTATATACCTCAAGTTTCTTATGAGATGAAGGTAAGGGAACATTTTTTGGGAAGATTAATAGCTCTGCAAAAAGTGATGATTAAAATGTACATTGTTTAAATTTGAAAAGTATGAATACTGAGGAAAATTATATTTCAGTATTGATAAAATAATTTTAAAATTTAGCCTCATATTAAGATTTCATTGGAATGAATACATTTTTAGTTGATGGAGTTGACTTGCATTAGTACTTCCAGGAAATATAGCACTCTGAATAGCCTCTACCCAAAGCATCTCAGAGTTCCTGCATCACTGTCCTACTTCCACTACATGGCTGTGTTTCTCTCTGCCAGGCACTATTCCTGGCAATTTACACTAAAGATCACATGTATACTTCACGTAAGATGGGTACTATGATCCCTGTTGTTGAGATTGAGGGTGTGGGGATTATAGAAGGAAGGAATGATAAGTTTTCAACATGCAGAACCATTACCCATTGGTTGTTATTGTTAGCTGTCACGGAGTCAACCCCTGACACATGGAGACCCCATGCACAAGAGAACGAAAAGTTGCCCAGCCCTGTGCCATGCCCACATTTGATTTGAAATCAGATCATTTTTCAAAAGTAGGTCACTAGGCCTTTCATCCCTTTCCTTCTTAGTCTGGAAGCTCCTCTGAAACCTGTTCAGCATCAGAGCAATACGAAAGCCTCCAGTAACAGCCAGATGGTGACTGTGCATGAAGTGCATTGGGCAAGAATTGAACCTGAGTCTTCTGTGTGGAAGGCAAAAATTCTGCCACTGCACCACCTCTGCCCCTTTTGTTTATGCTGTTAACACTAGGAAATTTAAAGTTCTAAAAATCCTAAGTAATTCCTCTCTGAGACCCTCAGATATTTGGATTTCTTTAGTTCTTTCCTTCATGCTTCTCTGTTTCTGAAGGCTAGAGGCTAAAGTGTGTGTCTTTCATAAATCACTTATACTGCACATCAAGACAACTTTAAAAAGTAGTTCAGTTTACAAATGAGAAGCCTGAAGATCAGAGGATAAGAAACATTCCTAGGGCAATGTAACTAACTTGAGAAGGTAGGGATATGAGCTAGACTGTCACTCTGAAAATTCAATGTTATTAAATAAAATAACCTTATATAACTTCTAAGAGCTACTCACAGAAAAAGGATATGTCTCCTTTAAATGTATCAGATAACTTGCTAGATAAATTTATTTCTTTTTTGAGGAGGGTGTAGAATTTAAATAATTCAACTGATTCACATAATAAGATAATCTCACTGACAATGGGGATTAATAACAAATGAAAGGTGGAAAGGTGTGGTAGTTAAGTTTGTGTGTCAGCTTGTTTGGATCTGGTTGAGTGGCTTGGCATCTGGAGGTAGTATTCCCCATGATGAGACTAATAGTCAACTCCATGGTGGAATCTACTGTGAGCAGCTGAGTAGCTGCCTCAGGGATGTGGTCTGCTTCCTATATATAAGGAGAAGGCTTGGGGAACAGTCTGTAGTTTATGGTACACTTGAACCCTACATGTAGCGGAGTCATTGATCAGCAGCCTGCCATTCTTTGCTGACATTGGGATTTTTAATTGACTTGAACTAACGGCCTGCCGTGTGGTTTGGTAACCTTGGGACTGTGCCTTTTTTACTTGTCAACCTTGGGCTTGTCAATCTCAGCAGCCAGCAGCTGTCTGAATGAAGAAAAGCCTCTAACTTCAGTGGGCAGGAGCAGGAGGCAGAGCTAAAGCCCAAAGTTAAGGGGCTTTCACCCAGCCTGTAGAGCCTGGCACTTTGAACTTGGACTTAAAGCCTCCAAACTGTAAGGGAATAAACTGTTTGTTAAAGCCATCCCATTTGTGGTATATTCTTGTCAGCACCACTAGGTAACCAAAACAAAAGGAATTGTGTGTATATCTGCCTAATAGTAGGTATTCAGTTGGAGGAAAGGGAGAAAAATATTTTTCACATCAACATAAAATCAAAGTATAATCTGTGAATGTTTTAACTGATTGTGTACTTTTTAAAATTTTTGAAATTCACTTTGCTAATATACTTTTACAGATAAAGAAACACACTTGAAGTGTTTGGAATGAAATATATTTTTATCAATAGTTTTTAGTGTATAAATTGATGGAAATTGCTCACAAAATGATTATAACTGAATGACCTAGTCAATAACTCTGATTTTATAAAATGTTGGGATTTTATATTTCAGGGAACGAAGAGTTGAATCATTTAACATGAATAAGGTAAATGAGAGCATCCCATGGGAGTTCGTCCTGTTAGGTTTCTCAGATCGACCATGGCTAGAGTTTCTGCTCTTTGTGGTGTTCCTGGTTTCCTATATTTTGACAATCTTTGGCAATTTGGCCATAATTCTTGTGGCACATCTGGACCCCAAACTCCATACCCCCATGTATTTCTTTCTCACCAATCTATCTTTCCTGGACCTTTGCTACACCACAACTATAATTCCACAAATGCTGGTAAACTTATGCAACACCAGGAAGGTAATAAGTTATGGTGGCTGTGTGGTCCAACTTCTCATTTCTCTGGCCTTGGGTGGCACTGAATGTATTCTCCTGGTCATCATGTCCTTTGATAGGTTTGTAGCTATTTGTCGGCCTCTCCATTACTCAGTCATCATGCACCAAAAGCTCTGCCTCCAGTTGGCAGCTGCATGCTGGATTAGTGGCTTTAGCAACTCAGTATTGCAGTCCACCTTGACCCTTAAGATGCCACTGTGTGGTCACAAAGTGGATCATTTCTTCTGTGAAGTCCCTGCTCTGCTCAAGTTGTCCTGTGTTGATACAACAGCAAATGAGGCTGAACTCTTCTTCCTCTGTCTGCCATTCCTTCTAATACCTGTGACGCTCATCCTTATATCATACACTTTCATTGCCCGAGCAGTGTTGAGAATACAGTCAGCAGAAGGTCAGCGAAAGGCATTTGGGATATGTGGTTCTCACCTAATTGTAGTGTCACTTTTTTATGGCACTGCTCTCTATATGTATCTGCAACCACCATCCTCTACCTCCAAGGACGGGGGAAAGATGGCGTCTCTTTTCTATGGAATCATCACACCCATGTTGAACCCCCTTATATACACACTTAGAAACAAAGATGTAAAGGGAGCTTTCAAGATGTTGGTTGCAAGTGTGTTCTTAATGAAGAAACAGTAAATATGATAGGTCTTACTAAAGACTTGAAATTCATTTCGCTAAACAGTTCAATTCTCTCCTAGGTGTTCTACTTTTGCTATTCTTATAACTATCATGGTGACCATACTCAAACCTCATTGGCAGAGAAGGACACTTTTTTTCCTCAAGTGCTTAAACATATTCATAGGAGCTCTGGTGGCATAGCGCCTAAGACATTTAACTGCAACCAGAAGGCTGGCAGTTCAAACCCCCAGCCACTCCTTGGAAGGAAGATTGGGCAATCAGTTCCATAGTGATACCATGTGGGAAACCCAAGGAGGGGTCACTATGGGTCAGATCGGATTTGACAGCAGTGTGCTTGTTTTCTTTTTTGATAAATATATCCATTGCACAGGTCTCCACAATTGTTTTTTTTTGTAAGATCCTCAAAATGGTATAGCTTTAAAATCTTTTAATTCTGAAACGTTATACCACTGGCTTGTATACTTGGAGAAGAGATGTCTTTGAGACTAGAATAAACTTAGGAACCTTTCTCCAGAAAAATAACATTTTTATACACATACAAACAAACGCACTCACACACACAAACACACCCTCAAATTTTTTTCAGACAAGTGTAGGAAGTATAAGCGAAGTCCCTACAACCATCCACAGCCCCTTCCGCTTAATTAGAGATGTAAAGTCTATAGCCGCAGCTTAAATTTTTAGCACCATTCCCACATCATCACAATAATAAAATCCACAATAACTTCTCTTCCAGTTTTACCCAGTTTTAGATCTTTCATTCTCTTGCTAAGGCTCTACACTCATCATTTCTCTTACACTGAAGTGATCTCTTTGATCCCTCTACGAAGTTCAACTCTAGCTACGTTTTAGGCCTTAATTAAATAATGTTGTTTGTAAAAACCTTTCATGATTCCTCTATTGTTTATTATTTATTATTGTTTACCCCTAAAATACTTAATGAGGAGCTCTGGTGACATAGTGTCTAAGGCATTTGACTGCTAACCAAAAGGCTGGAGGTTCAAACCCACCAGCCCCTCCTCGGAAGGAAGATTGGGCAATCTACTTCCCTAGTGATACTGCCTCGGAAACCCAAGGAGGGGCTGCTATGAGTTGGATACGACTTGACAGCATTGAGTCATTGTTTTGAAAATAGTTAATAGTCTAAATCAGAAAATAATGGTCAAATAATGATGTCCACTGCTTGTTTAATGAACTTGTGCAAGATGACAAATTTATTAATATCATGTTAATTCCTTTGTGGTAGGTGGCACATAGACCATAACATATATTAGTTCCTTGCCACCTTCATAGCTCATCAAAGTGCTGAAGAAAATACTCACACACAGTAAGTTAATTATTTGGTGTGATACATCATATTGGAATTATTTTAATTGCTTCTTCAATACCAATTTTTTCAAATCTTTTTCTTCTACCAAATATATCATAAAAATAGCAAATGTAACCAATTATTTAAAAATACAACTATCATATTTCTCCTCTAAATATTACAGGAACATCTCAAGTTTCTGCCTCAATGGAATTCTAACACAACACTGTGGATCTTAAAACTTTAGAACACAGAGAATCACCTTGAAGGCTTTTTACACCTAGACTGTGAGACCCCATGTCGTCCCCAGAGTTTCTAATTCAGTAGGTCTGGGGCAGGGCCTGACAAATTGCATTTCTAATGAATTCCCAAGTAATATTGATGTTGCTAATCAGGGAACCACATCTTAAGAACCACTGCGTTAACAGTTAAAGTAAATAAAAGCACTTGCTGAGTTCCTGTTTTTTATTTCTATCAGTGAAGGAAAATGAAGACAAACACCAGAAAAATGTATTGAAATACGAAAGGATTTCCCCTAATGAAAATGCATTCATATCTCAAAAGTCCAAATAAATAATATGCCAGGTTACCACAGGTAATTTTGGCTGTGATCTCAAAATCAATGTACCAGAAATATGAGAGAAACCAGAAAGAGGAAAATAGAGTTATTTATTTATTTATTTATTGTGATTTTGGGGAAAATTTGCAGAGAAAATTCACTTTCCATGCAGCAGTTCACATACACTTTGTCTCATGACATTGACTACAATTTACCACAATGCAACAGCTCCCCTCCCACTTCCTCCCGATAGCTACCTCTTCCCTGTGTCCATCCCTCCATGCACTCCTGCCCCCTGAGCTGTCTCCCTGTGCATAAACAGCCCTTCTTTCTCCCATGATTGTTCTCTCCAAGGAGTGTATCTACCTCAGGTAAATGTTCAACTCACATGCCTGTCTTTTGTTTGGCTGGAAGCCACAGGTGTGGATTCAGTTCCAGACCTGAAGGGCAGCTAGGGGCCATAGTCTCAGTGGTTCCACCAGGCTCTACCAGACCAGCAAACCTGGTCCCCCTTTTTTTTTGCAAATGATTTTGAGTTTTGTTCCACATTGTTCTCCCTCTCTATCCAAGATGTCCTACATAGATCCCCCTCTGAGTGGTTGACAGTAGTAGCCGGGTACCATCTAGTTCTTCTGGTCTCATAGTCATATAGGCTGCGGATTTCATGGTATACCAGTCACTAGGACAAATTGTTTCCATGAATCTTTGGTTTTCTTCATTCTTCTTTGCTTTGGACGAGGAGAGACCCATCATTGCATCTAGATGGCTGCTTGCAAGCTTTTAAGATCCCATTCTTCAATCACCAAAGTAAGAGGTGGAACAATGTTTTATGTAGTATGTTATGCCAATTGAGCTTGATGTCCCCTGTGACTATGGTTCTGAGAAAACTGAGTGATTTAATGTATATTTTTAAATGAGCCATATATTGATTCAACACATCACTTATTGGTCAGTTTGAAAGTGATTTATCACAAAATCCTAGAAATATTGTATTATCAGCTACCTTGTGATGATTAAAGTATATATTCTACACATCTATCTGATCATCTATATCTATATGTCTATATCCTGGACTATGATCCAAATTCACTTAGAACAACGAATACTGAACTAACTTTGTTTATTTTTATAGAGATACCAAACCAATACAGTTGTTCCTATTAGTTCTTACAGAGTGGGCTCAGACTCATAACCCCCTTATGTTAGTATTATCCTCACCTTGTGCCAACCAGTCTATTCTGGCTCCTTGTGACCCCATGTGTTACAGAGTAGAACTGCTCCATAGGGTTTTTTGCCCGTAATCTTCTTAGAAGCCTACCTGTAGGACTTTATTCTGCCATGTCATTGGATACGTTCAAAATTTCAACTTTTTGGTTAGTAGTTAAAAGCAAACTATGCCACCAGGGACCTTTTTGCACCCGTTAGATGTGAATTTAAAAAATTAATAACAAAGGACACACTCAAAATAATACTCAAAAGATTAAATTTCAATTTGTTTTGATCCTAGGCAATAAAATTTTATTCAGAGTCTTCTTATTGGAAGATTATGATAGCACATTTTGTGTAACATGCTATATTGAACAATACTGAATACCATGAAGATGAAGAGTGATGTGTGAAAATAAATTGAACACAGTTTTCTACCTTAAGAGTTTATAGTTTTATTAGATAAAAAAGCCTACATATATGCAGGGACATCAATAGAGTTGGTGTCATTCAGTGCAATAAATCAGTGTCACCCACCAACTGTGGACCTCCTCTCCTACCACACCACACAGAATCCTTCCAAAACAAAAGCTAGACTCACTGCCATTGAGTCGATTCCGACTCACAGCAGCCTCCATTGAATTTCCCAGGCTGCAAATCTTTACAGAAGTATATTACTCCATCTTCCTTTTACAGACCAGCTGGTGTGTTTGAACTGCTGACCTTCTGGTTAGCAGCCAAATGCCTTATGCACTACACCACAAGAGCTTCTTAGTAACATTTATTATCAATTTGAATCATTGAATAATATGTGATAATAGTTGTAAATTGTTTCAATGTAATATTTCTTAAATTATCTGAATACTAAGATAATTCACTAATTGTGAAATCTTTCTACATTGAATTATAACATATTTAGTTAAAACATTATTAATAACTTTTTAAAAATTTTTCTCCTTTAACTTAAATTACTACTTCATTCTCAAAAAAGGCACTAATATAGGTCTACAAGTACTACTTACCATAATATTGTAGCTGATACACCAGAAAATTGGACAAAATCAGTGACTATAAAAACACTGGCACCAATGAAAATGACAGCTTGTAGCATACTTCCAGCATATGTAGATAAAACCACGTGATTCAAAGCATCATTTAATTGGCTAATGATAACAGCTGTGACAAGGACATATTGCAAACCAAATGAAACTCACCATCATTCGGTAAATTGGCTCATAGCGACCCCCATAGGGTAGCCAATGGAGGCTGTAAATCCTTATAGATGCAGGCTGTCTCATCTTTCTCCCTTGGAGAAGCTGGTGGATTTGAACCTTTAAGTTTGCAGCCAAATGCTTGTACCGCCAGAGCTCCTTCCTGGAGCACTTTGTTGTTGTTGTTACGTGCCGTTGAGTCGGACCCGACTCACAGTGAACCTTCCTCGGGTTTCTGAGGCAGTATCATTATGGAAGTAGATTGCCCCTTATTCCTTATGAGGAGTGGCTGGTGGGCTTGAACCGCCAGCCTTCTGGTTAGCAGTCAAGTGCCTTAGCCACTATGCTACCAGAGCGAAGAACATTAGAAGGTTCAAAAAGCAAATTACCACATACATACAAGGTGGGCTAAGAAAAATGTTTTGGTTGTTATAAGTGGGTTTTTAAATAAAAAATCATAAATTTATGCTGAACCAGTGCACAAAATTTTATAGACAGTCATTTGTTTTCACTCCCACTAACAGTGTCACCTAGTGCAATTCATAACCTCTGAACTCCCTTAGTGATACCGCTGATAAATGATATTCAAAGCAAAGATAACACAATCACAGGGCAATGGGCAGGCAGACTATTTGGGAATATCCCCATATTTGAAATGCACCAATAAGACAACACTACAGGAGATAAATTTATTCTGTAAGTAAAATTTATC